GATGGTGGAATATGCTTTGGCTCTGTGGCAGATAGCTTCAATCCTGAGAGGCTGAGAGAGAGAGAGAGAGAGAGAGAGAGAGAGTGGGGGGAAGAGATCTGCTCGTCTCTGCCTGCCAGTACACTTTCATAAGGCCCCATCTAGGCTAAATTAATACACTTCCTCCAACATCTGAGGATAAAACCTGAGGGCCACATTATCAGCCAGCTTGTAATACAACCGAGTCAGCAGTCAATGAGATACATTTGCAACCAGGCATTTGTCAGCGACTCAGTGCCACAGAGGCAGGGGATTTAAAATGTCCTGCAGTAAATTAAGTGCTGCTTGAAAAGTGAAAGGTGCCGGCTAAGCAGGCGGCTGCTTACTTTAAATGACAGACTGGTTAAGGGGGTGATGATGGTGTGGTGATGGAGGGAGGAGGAAACTCAACCAGGGGCTTGAAGCTTTTTTTTTTTTCTGATTCTGGCTCCACTGCATTTTATACATTTACAGAAGGTTTATGTGAAGGTTTTGGTGAGAGAACAATAATTACGACAATGATAATAACAATTATTTATATAGAAATTATCAAAATCACAGATTACAAAATGCTTCACAACATAAAAAAAACACATATGTATTAATACACATACACACACATTTGAGAGACAATTAACCAGAAATAAATAAAGTTACAAAAATAAGATTTTAAAAATGATTTAAAAGACTTTCATTCCAGAGCTGAGACGCTTTCACAGTAAAAGCACTTTCCCCTTCAGTCTTACAGCTCGACATGAAAACTGTCAGTAAGTACCTGCCCGAGGACTTCAGACTGCGTGCAGGTTGGTATGGGGCTAATGATTCAGTGATGTAGCCTGGGGCCAGGCCATGAAGCGCTTTAAAGGTAACAAGTAAAATCTTGAAATCCATTCTGTAGCAAACTGGTAGCCAGTGTGAAAACATGTAAGGGGAATAATATGATCCCTTTCCTTACCTCGTTTGTCTTTAAACTAGCTGGTTTAATATTGTAGGAGAAAGAGGCAAGAGAGGACTGTACTTGTGCATGCCGATGCTGGTCAGGGCCAGTTATAGGGATTTCAGTTTTTCTCTGAATTTAACTGAAGAAAATTTGCAGACATCCAGTTTTTAATGTTGATAAGATATTCTCTAAATTGATCTATTAACCATTAATTGAGTAATCACAGGCACTCCTGACCTGGTCACTAATACTTCTTCACCTATCTCTCTTTTTCTTCCCTCTCTCATCTCGCTCTTGTGCTTCAAGTATGAAATGATTGTTTCGACATGCTTTATCATATTTAATATTTCACTGTCCACAGCATGATGAATGAAGTTTCTTAAAATACCAGCAGCCATTTTTTCCATTCATTACTGTATGCTGTATGAAAATCACCTTGCAGAGACTCGAAATTTGCTCCACATGGTCTTTTGTCTTTGACAAAGCTGTTATTGTTGTAAAAAGACACAAAAGAAAAGACTCAACTTGTTGCCTGTATATTAGAGCTCTTGTGGTGAAAGCACAGTGCTGGTGCCAGCCAGGAGCAAAAGCCCATTGAGTTCAGATGTAAGTACCGAGTGAGCACTCACAAATTAAACCAATAGCAACAGTCCTGTACACACTCACAGTTTGTGTTGTGTTATTGTTGTGCACAACTGCAGTGGAGATGATTAAACCAGTACTCACAACTGCATGAGCCCGTGATCATAATGTACTGTAAGTCTGACAAAAATAAAATAACAACATTTCTGTCCCAGAAAGTGGAAACAACACAGGACATGAACAGACATGAAAAAAACACTGCTATGGTCCTTTACCTTTATCTCTCTTCTTCTTCTGCTTCTTCTCTCTGAAGAATAGGATTACAACATCCATTTAAAAAACTGGGAATTACCAAAAACTACCATTGTGATTCATAGCAGAACAGGAACCCAGGACAAATTAAGAGGGTGGGTACAGGAAAGAGACACTTAAAATATATAGAAACTCACCCCCATAGTATGAAGCCACTCTACAAATGACAGAGCATGGCGCCACTAAGAGGCTTATGGAAATAATGGAAGTAGTGTAGCTCCTGTGGCGATGATATGCTTGCTGTAACAGAAAGGGAAAGAGACTGGTATTTACCGAGATATCTCCTGGACTCGTGTTAAGCAGAGCAGTGGCTGTCCTGAGCCAGACCGGAGGGAGGGGAGCAGAGATGCTGTCACAACAGCAAGCTCAGATAAGCCCCTACTGGGTGAAGAAAGAAAGGCATTAAGTGAGCATATTTTTTTAAGTCGTTTGATGCTCCTCCAGCGCCACTGGAGTGAGACTGTGTGCAGAATAAATATAGGCAGGTGATTTAAACCCAGAACATATGCCGGTTCAATTATAAGCACGCTTTTTTTAGCTCTTGAAAATCAGATGAGCTTCCTCTTTACACAGGTGATGTGGAGTCTAAAAAGAGATGAACTGAAAGAGGCCTCAAAACCACAGTGCCTGAAATAGTTTTCTTTATCTGTCCTGTATCTTAACTGGTAACATCTTGTGTTCGGTGAACTCAGACAATATCTCTGCTGCACGAAAAAGTGGGCCACCACACTAGAGCTAAAACTTAAATGTATGAAACTAAATTATCTGTGTTGTGTAGATGAAGAGCCACCTCATGCAGAAAATAACACAAACAGCTACCGTATACATACACATTAAAAACAATTAACAGAAACCCCACATTGTAGTACTGCCAATGACCACAAGAGATCGGTATAACAAAGCTTTATAGACGGGTCCGGTTAGGAGGTCACTTCTGTAAATCTGTTTTAGCAACAAAACAAGGGTAGACAATGACACACGTGCCAGATAGTATTGCTTACTGTAGAGTAAAATGTGAATCATGGCAAAAAATTGGGCTCGTCCGGGATTTGAACCCGGGACCTCTCGCACCCAAAGCGAGAATCATACCCCTAGACCAACGAGCCGCTTGCACAAAGTGTGAACGGTACATGTTATATACGTTTGATTGTCTTCTGCTATGCATTATGAATATTATAAATATATATAGTTGTTTATATTATATTCTATTTATACACAAAATTGTCAATTGCTTCATCAAAACTGCAAGATTTCAAAACATTACCCTGAATTAGAAGGGATGACGCTGGTTAACAGTTCACGCTAGCTGGCAAGCTAACCTACCTCCTGACCGGTGAGCCCGTACAGTCAGAGCTAACGTTAGCTAACTCTGGTCGGAAAGGAAAGTTCCTGACAGCTTCCAAATGAGCTTAAAATGGCGAGGGGCCCTTGGTAGAACATTAGCTGTTACAGTCCGTGCACAAAGTATAATTCTTCTGAAGTTGTTCACGTTGTATATTGAAAAATATCAGCTTAGCCTAGTTGCATAATTTCATTGTGCTACTTGTGCTAAGTGCAAATGTATGTTGACGTTTGTGAGCTTCATTATCCGATGCTGCCTTCACGCTGTTAACGCTTTGCTTGTGTTATTGTCCCATTGAATGAAGACGAGCACATCAATTCAGCGCACCAAAGAGTCGGTTTGTTCCATTAACCAACTTTTACAATGAAAATTGAACAAGGAAGTCGAGAGTCGGAAACAGAGACAGCTCGTCTTCAAAGTAAAGGTTGCTCGTTTTGAACAAACATGCTGGCTGCAGCGGTCAATTTAAGGAAAGCGGAGCTAGATAAATTAACAAATTGATTAAATAATGAACATAATTCATAACTGTTAGCTAGCCCACAATTGATTGGAAATAAATTTACAACGAAGACAGGAATTATTATAGGGTCTTGCAAAAAAAATGGCTGTTAATATTTTCAATGACACAACTGACTTTAGTGTAGCTGTTTGGATTGGACAGGAGTAAGCTATTTCACTGATACAAGAACATCATGACTGCAACATTACAACATTTTAAGGTGGTATTCCTTCTGTTTTGGGGAATCTGAAAATGAAATAGATAAAAAATGAAGAATCAATATATGAAATACAATCCTACTATACTGAAGGATAACACCACGGCTTATCAAACATCACAGAAAACAATGGGTTCACAAATAGTAATACCATATGACACAGAAAAATGTAATGATATAATACATATTGAAATAAAAATTACAAAATGATTTATTTGACAAAATAATCTCACTGCAATGTCCGTTTATAGCTGTTCTGTATCTCTCTCTCCTATTTTGACACAATTTATAATATTCAACTATTAGTTTATTATATTCAATGTATTATATTTATTATATTCTGACTCTGTTAGTAGTAGGGTAGAAGGTGGTCATGACTCCAGGGGAAACTAGCGAGTTATTGGGGTAATCAATTAAACACATTCAAAAAGGTCTGCACAATCTGAAATCTCTGCATATTTCAGCTATCTTTTCCCAACATACTGTAATTACTGTGAGAATATTATAGAACATTATTTCTGTCATGGTGTTTTAGGTCTTTATCATACCCTCATCATAAGAAAAAGGTGGAAAAGATGGCTTCCCACTACACTGAGATAGGATTACTGTATTACTGTCTTTCATAATAAGTGGAATCACGTTTTATGTGAGAATTACGGTGAATTAGTTTCCAACAGTGGATAACCCAGACTGTGGCAGACAGTAGCATTATAATAAAAGTTTTCAATCTTAAATCTAAAGTAAATACAAGAACAAACCTGCTATAACTCTCAAACTGGTTATATATATTTGTTATATGTTATAATGCTCATAACGTCAAAAGTCAAATTACCAAACTGTAAATGAAAACAAAGTTTAGGTTGCAGGCTGTTTTAAGGCTTTCCTCGTGTTGGGGCTCTGGGTACTTACTTCCACCATTCCCCCCATTATTACATCCCTGTTGTTATTATGACGCAGTTTCTGATAATACTGTTTATCAATTGTAATGTGCTTATAATGAACTGATATTGTATATAATGTGTGTGAGAGCAGGCTGACTCTCAGTGTTGACGGTGGGACAGGGTTGAGCCCTGCTGCTGCCGCTGCTCCTCTCGCCCAGTGCATTGTGGTCTGTGTGCTAAAGGAAGCTGCTGCAGCGGAATCTGAAGAATTTGAGGTGTCCGCCAAGTCTGCTGTTCATCGTTAACTTAGTCTGTCGGTACCTCTCTGCACTGTAAGGACTGCAAGGTAACACCGCTGATTTATCTATTTTTTTACCTCTTATTCATGACGATGTTTTCTCGTCGCTGTGTAGGTCGCGGTTTCGTTGTTAAACCGACGACGCTAACATTAGCTATTTAAGTGAACATCCTGCGAGAGAAGCTACTCGGCTAGTTAGTGGTTAACGCTATGCTAAGCTTGTACCAAGTTTCCGAACAGCTAGCGAGGGGTGTTAGCTGGAGAAATAGGAAATAGCTTTCAATTGGGCTCGTTTTGATGGCTGTTCAAAGACAGAAACATAATCAAATTTGGGGGGTTTTCATGGCAGATGTCAGCATCAGCCCATTTTACGCCCATTGGGTTGTTACCGTTATAAAACTAGCCGTTGCTAATTAACTGGCTAATTTCCATTTCAATACGTGTAAGAAAATTAGTATTGCTAGTTTTAGTTAGCGTTACATTTTTCTGTGGTAGGGTAGGCAAGGCTTCTTGAATTGGCTCAAACTAGCTTCTGAATTAACCTAGACACATACATTTGTCTAATCAGCCGGAAAACAACAGTTTCCTATTATCTGGCAGAGTGAGACAGTTTTTTTTTCATCCTAACTCTCGGTGCTGTTGGTGTGTTTCTGACAGTTTCAGTTCATTAGGGCTTTTGAATAGAAAAAGACACCGAATTGCAACACAACAGCCAACAACAAAGTAGTAAACATATGACACCAGTTGTAAAGCCGTTGGGATTAATAGCATAAGCATGGCTTAATCGCTTATCCTCAGATCATAGTATTGTAGTGGGACGCAGCTTTAATGCAGCTAGCAGGAAAAGGAGATAGTCAGTTTTTTGTGGTGAGACACAGCACTCTCACAAACCAGACTTCCTGTCTTTCATACACTCAGGCCTGTATGTATGTGACTGCATGAATTAGCTCCATTTCAGAACAGGTTCACATAGGCCAGAGTTGTGGTAAAATTAAGTATTGTTGCCAGTTATTGTTGTAAGTTTTTCTCAGTATGTGATAGTCTGTGTTTTCTTTCAGGTTTAACAAGCAGTAAAAAATGTCTCAGGCCGACAAAATGAAGGTGAGTCTTGCAAAATACAAAACCAGATACTTTATCTGAACTGATACTGTACAGGGTAATACTAGGTTCCCTCTTCCAATTCACTGGCTGTCTTTCTTGTGTAATGGTTTAACATTAATAATGACGAGAAAGTAAGGTTGTATGTTAATGATATGCTCCTTTTTCTCTGACTCAAAACTCAATCTTAGGTGTTGTGGTTTTGTTATAAATGTAAACAGTAAGTCTGCTGTCCTCTTTTGACTCAGTCCAGGATTTCATTTCAGTGAGACATTTTGTTCCATCCCACTTTTCTCACGTTATTTTCTACAATGTGTGGTTGTTCAAAACACATATTATTTACTTGTTGAATGCTAGGTCACTCAGGCAGTTGCTCAGTGTGCTGCTCACTATTCACATGACTCACTGATGTGGCTTTATGCGGATTGAAAGGCCTAAAGGCAGCACAGGAACACACTACTTATTAGTCTTATCAGTCATGACCTTTGCTGAAAGCTTGGGAGAAAGGAGCGTTTATAAATACTACATGACTGTGTGGCCAAAAAAGCGCAAACTAAATAAAGAACAGGTACCTTTTTGTATTTGAATTTGCCAGTGTGTAGCAGTGCCACGGGGGCTATTGAATTGCTTTGTGTAGGAAAGAGCCATAATCACTGGAATGATGGGTGGACAGTCTTTTGTAAATACACTACAGAGAGGTCACTGTTGCTCTCCCTAAAAACCCTGGTTGTTCATGAACAGATGTCTCCTCAGTGACTCCTACTCTAGCACCTATAAGTGGTTATGTTATTGCCAGCACAATGTTCAACTTACAACTGATTTGGATTCATCATGCAACAACAATTATCTTAAACTAAATCAGAATTCTGTGCAAAGCTACGGTCTTTCATCTTAAATTGTAATGTCACCAAACATTATAACTACGATTATGACACTTCTGTCTTTGTCCTCTCCTTTTTGTACTACAGCAGGGCCAGTTCACCAACCCTGAGACCCCAGGGTATGTTGGATTCGCCAACCTGCCTAATCAGGTTCATCGCAAGTCAGTAAAAAAAGGATTTGAGTTTACATTGATGGTAGTAGGTGAGTGTGTCTTCCCTGTTTTTAAGACCTTTTCTAATTTTGTCCATTTCTTCTTGATATTACATGGCTCTAGTTTTATTTAGTTTGGAAGATGATAGTGTATCTTAGTGATAACAAGTTTCAAGCTAGACAGCTTCAATAAACATGGAAATTTAAGGAATGCATTTTGTTTTTTGGCTCATGGGAGTATGTTTTTGGTGTGATTTTGACCATTGGCCTGTACAATATTTAGTTGTTGGTGTCACTTGTTTTCTTTTCATAATGAACCCTCTGTATAACAGTCTCACAACTCTTTCACCTCTGTAGCTCCATTTGTTTGTATGTTGAGGGTATGTTGGGTGTTTTGTCTTTGAACCTGTCTTCAGTAAAGCAGAGGTGTGTCTTCGTGTGCTCAAAGGCATTTTGGTCAGTATAAAATGGCAGATGTCACATCAGTGTAGTTGCTCAGCTGGCGTCAGCAGCAGTGTAAACTGCTGGATGGGAGTGCTGTGACTGTGTGAACCTCTGTGCTTGTTGATGAGGGGGGAGGGTAGGAGCTCCCCCCTGAACACTGCTCATCCTTTTGCTTTAAAATAAACCAGAGAGGAATGTAGCCTGTGGGCCTCGAGGGACTGATTCATACATTGGACAAGGCCTGCTGGTCCCGCTACTGGAAGAACACTCATTGAGTGCCTATTTAACCTCTTTTGTGACCTGGGTTCCTAAATAAATCAGTGTTTTCTTGTATATTTAGATAGCTGCAGTTCTCCCCCACAGACAAATAATATACTTAATTAAATTTGTCCTCATTATACATCTGTTGTTATGCTACCCCAAAACACAGCCCTTTCCAAACTGCCTCTAGTGTGCATTAAATATGTCAACTTTGATTTTCCATGCACTCTGGCAAATTGCCAGTTTGGATGTAGTAAAAACTTCTGTAAATCTTTTGCCATTGCTCTGGTGGGAACCACAGTTGCAGCATTCCTAAGTAAAGCACACAAGCTTTGGGTTGATTATGTGTGAACATCTGTAATGTGATCGTGAGACTTGAGCATAGTTTCTTACATTTCCTTCATATAGTTTGCTAGATTTTGTTCATTTCTGTTGCTTAAGCTAAACTGCTGCTGTAGTTTCATGATTTTCCCAGACAGAAGTCAGTCATACTACAGGACTAAAACAATGTTCAATGGACCTGCAGCATCATGAGATAAAAGACACTTTTGACTCAAGGACGAGTCTGGAAATCAGGTCATTAGCATATGTTTAAAACTTGATCACTCACTGAAACTGGGCTGTTTTTATTGCCTGTGTTTCTAACCATTTTCATTTTTCACTTTTTATATGTGAGGAAGTTTTTAAGATCTTTTCAAGAATTTTGTGTAAAGATGGAGTCGACCTAGAAGAGGATTTCCATGTTCTTGGTTCTTGCGAGTGAAACTATCCGACGATCTTCCTCCTGTTCCTGCTCCTGACTGATTTTGAAACTTTGCATTGCTTCCTCGGGGCGAGGGTTGCTTAGTCAGCCACCTGACATATTTCTATCAGGTTCATGAAGTCAGAGTTAGTATCATGCTGATGCGTATTTCCGTGTTACGTGAGGCCTGATGTGCATCACAGACAGACAGTCTGTTTCCTGCAGCACACTGACACTGTCTTTATTCTTTTTTTCTTTTTTTGTTGACGCTCAAATCTGTATTAGGGAAGTTCAAAACCTGATGGGCTTTTGTAATTCTTTCTGGTTTTTATTCTGATTTCTCATTTGATGGTTATTGTGTGATGATTGTTTTTATTTTCCTCTGTTGTCTAAAGGTGAATCTGGACTTGGAAAATCCACCCTGATCAACAGCCTTTTTCTCACTGACCTTTACCCTGAGAGAGTCATCCCTGGAGCAGCAGGTAAAACACGCACGCACGACCAAATGATCCTTATTCGTAGCCACTTTTGGATGGTTTGTAAAACACTTTGTGTATTATAAACATAAAATGAACACATTCAAGCCATTTAATAACAATAACGGACTCACTGTGGCCTTGTATTATATCTATTTTTCCTTCTTATAGAAAAGATAGAAAGGACGGTTCAGATCGAGGCATCAACAGTAGAAATTGAGGAGCGAGGAGTGAAGCTCCGTCTCACTGTGGTAGACACACCAGGATATGGAGACGCCATCAACAGCCAGGACTGGTATGAAATCTTTTTAGAGCGTATGCTGTTGAGGAGATGAAGTATTTTTAGATTTAAATTACCCACTGTCAGTCCTTTGATCTTGGAGAGCATCACTACTTGACAGTTAAAAGTAAGTTGAATTGTTTTAAATCATAAGGATAACAGGAGGATGATTTATTTATTATTTTTTTTGTCTGGGCTTTTGATTTCATTACTGAGAGAGTGGGCTTCTGCTGCAGTATGCTGTGATACAAACTGAATGTTCAGTGTGACCTATATTTCTCTCATCCAGTTTCAGCACGATTATCAGCTACATTGATGATCAGTTTGAGCGCTACCTCCACGACGAGAGCGGTCTAAATCGTAGACACATTGTTGACAATAGAGTTCACTGCTGCTTCTATTTCATCTCCCCGCTTGGTCACGGGTGAGTCCTGCAATACATACTCGCACAGATACTGTACACGCTTCAGTTAATACACTGAAGTTACATTTTTTTCACCCTTTTTTGCTTTTGATAAATTCTTACTGGAATCCTTTGTCTCTCTTTGACCCTCTGTCCGTCTGTTTCCCGTCTGACCAGCCTAAAACCCCTGGACGTCCAGTTCATGAAGGCCATTCACAATAAGGTTAATGTGGTTCCTGTCATCGCCAAGGCGGACACTCTCACCCTTAGAGAGAGGGAAAGGCTCAAGCGCAGGGTGAGAACAACAGAGGGGGATTTCCAGTTCCTGAGATGAACAGCAGCTATCATGTGCTCATGCTCACTGCTTTAGTGATACTGTAGCTTCAACTCCAGTGAAGTGTCAAAAGAGGTTATGTCGGAAATGATTTTGATTAGCAGAATAATACATATAGTAGTTATATTTCTATAGCTCTGACTAAACAGAAAACAAAAGGCTGTCGTCTGTCCACTTACTAGATAATGACCTGTGATTTCTCCTTGTTTTCTTTGTAAGATTCTGGATGAGATTGATGAACATGGTATTAAGATTTACCACCTTCCTGATGCTGAGTCAGATGAGGATGAGGACTTCAAAGAGCAAACTAGGATCCTCAAGGTAAACTCCCCGTTCCTTGTACAGCTCTTTGTCCCTGGATGAATTCAAACTTTCTTCTCTCCAAAGATATTTTCAGGGTTTTAGCCACAAAATTGCATTTATTTTGTTAAAGTTATTTATCTGGGAGGTTTGAACCATGAGAACAGACAACATAAAGTACTTCTCTTCTCCAGGCTAGCATCCCATTTGCAGTTGTAGGATCCAACCAGCAGATTGAGGCCAAAGGGAAGAAGGTGAGGGGCCGTCTGTACCCTTGGGGAGTGGTGGAGGTGGAGAACCCAGAGCACAACGACTTCCTCAAGCTGCGCACCATGCTGATGTGAGTGCTAGAGGAGCCAGAGGAGGCTATAACCTAGGTTTTTCCTTACTCTTTAAAATTAAAAGTTTGTTTCTTGGTGGTTGAGATAGTTTTCCAGGATGCCTTTAGCCATTATGATAAAAATGTGAATGTCTGTGCAGAAGTATTTATTAGTTATTGACTTTTCCATAACCTCACAGAACCCACATGCAGGATCTACAGGAAGTGACCCAGGACCTGCACTACGAGAACTTCCGCTCGGACCGCCTCAAACGGGGTGGCAGGTTGTCCTCCCATGGTTATGTTCTGCCTCTGTCTCCTGCGTACGTACTTGTCTGTCAGCTTGCTTTTCTGCACCTCCCCCCCCCCCACCTCAAACAGCAGATGTCTGATAAGAAATCATATATATCAAATGTAAAAGTCTTGGAGATACATGGAAAAGCCATTGTCGGACACATGCACACATTACAGAAATATTTACCAAGGAGGATAATTAATGAGAGTTATTGCCGTATGATGCAATCCACAGTCATTCATTTCATCTTTTGTTGATTCATATAATATTGAACTAGTATCAATTCTGTAGCACAGTAGCTCTAACTCATCATTTTGCATGTGACCTACACCAGTTAGACAGTGGTATTGAGATAGAACTGAATTCAATGCTGTTGGCTGTGGATTTACATAGTTAGCTGGTAGCTAAATGGCATGTGTAGTTTATGTAGATGTTGTAAACAGGATTACTGTGTGTGTCATTTAACATAGTGGCGATACATCATCATTTAACCCTCAGTGTAGACCACAGAGATTCTTTTAGACTTTCCCCTAAAGCCAACCCAGGATAAGGGAGTGGTTTTACTGTCTTCACGTTGCCTCGCCATCTGTCCAATGATGGCTGTCTGGTTTGATTTGTCCAATCCCATGAGTGGACTGTTGGAGGTACCGTTTTGTTTTGTTTTTTTTGTCATTTGGGGGAGGTAACGCTGTTGCCCTGACTCTCGCACTCGCTGCTTCCCTCTTGAATCTTCCTGCTTTCATCTCTTTGTAGTTACTTGTTGTAGATGCCCACTTTCTCTAGCGAGCTTTTTGTATCTTCCTGCAAAGAAACACTCCACTAACCCACTGAGCCTTTTTTCACTTTCTCAATGTGGCTTTTGTCATGTTTGCCTAATGTTACTTAAAATGCTACAACATGCACTCCCAGTCTTGCACGCATACACACACACACACAGTGCTCTGCTGAGTGTGATTATTATGCTTTACAAATCATCACACAATGTGATTTTACATTTATAACCTCTTTCACTGTGCATTTAACTTGTACTTAATGATTCCTTTGTTAACTGGCATATATTCTACAGAAATATTACACTACATACTAACATGAAAAGTAACTATACTTGTGGTCATTACAGGAAAGGACCGGAGCCGGAGGAAATGGACAAGGATATGATCCTGCAGGAGAAGGAGGCTGAGGTGGGAGATTTCAGTCACTACAATACTATTAGAAATTCATTTTTCATGATTCATCCGTCTTGATTGTCCAGATTTCCTAGAGGAAGAGTTTGACTTTTTGGGGAATAACACTCACGTTTGTGCCAAGAGGTAGTTGAGAGATCAGTACCACTCATGTATGTAAACTAAGTATTAACAGAGACAGGCTTATTATTCCCCCCCTGTTTTCAGTCTTTATGCTAGGCTAAGCTAGCAGGCTGCTGGCTGTAGTCACACATTTATAATTTAGTTGTTGTCTCTCTGAATATATGTGTTAAACTGGTCAATAATTCACGTTCACAGATGGTTTCTGTCCAAGCAGACGATGCAGGAGCAGTTGTTTCTAATTAATGATTTATAACTGGCAGACAGATATTAATGATAATACATTTATGTAGACTGACAGATAAGAGAAAGCATCTGTACATAAACAACATCCCAGCTGTCTGAATGTATGTGCCTTGTTCTTGTTTTAAGTGCAGTTGTTGTTTCCCTGTCATACATGTTGATGTTGTGTGTCCTACAGTTGAGACGAATGCAGGAGATGATTGCAAAGATGCAGGCCCAGATGCAGAAGCAGGGAGATGGAGAGGGAGAAGGCCCCAATGCGTGAAAAGTCAACGGTAGGAGCAAGACCCATGGATACAGGCAACACTCCCTCTGATGCAGACACACTCTATATTACACTACATTCCCAGAACAGTGGGACACCTGATTTCCTGTGTTTGTAACGTAAATATCTAAACGAGAGTTGTTCACTTGAATAATTTTCAAAATTGAACGATAACATGTAGTTTTTCTTTTCCACTGTAGGTTTTTGAGCCACTGCTCCACATCGACCAGAGAGAATGGGATTGATAGCAGAAAAGGTGTAAGAGCTGTCTGGTTATTGACTCCTACTGCTTGCCACTATCTTCATTCAGTCCCACGTGGGATCTGGAGTCATTTTTTTTATACATACAGTAAAATATACTCAAACAGTGTTATGTTTATATATTTACACACGGTTCTTTTTCTTTCCTTTTTTTTTTTTTTGTTTCATTTTATTCATTTTTTTTGCCAGTTACTCAAATGAAGTCATGTGACCCATCTTTAAAATGGTGATATATATTTTTAATACAAACCCATTGGGATGTTCTGTTGCTTCTCCATTCTTTTTTTGCTTTCTCACTTTTTTCGCTATCGAGAAAACCAAAGTATTGGTGCTTCTGTTCAGTGCTTTTAGTCCCAAAACATCGCTCATAGCACATGCTAACATTAGCTCTGTGAAAGAGCTTCATTGGGAGAGTCGGCTATGGTGAAAACTAGTAGAAGAAATAGCGTTTTATGCCACTGTCTCAATATTCTTTTTGTCAAGTGAAAACATAATTTAACATTTAAACACAAGCGTCCAATCGTATAGGGTTCATTCTGCTCAGTATACCACTCATGTACTCGTATGCATGCAACTCTCGACCCCACCCCCCCACAGTCTGGTTAAATTTCAGGTGAATTTTTCCCTCGAGTGCTGTGTTGGGATCAGTTCTTCCCCTCTCCTGTCCAAAATTTTACCCATCAGTGCCGTTCTCAGATCAGTGTCAACAAATGCAACTGCATTCAAGTGTTGTAAAGCTCATTTTGAGTTCGATATAATTTAAATAAACTGTGACCCTTGACCTCTTACAGTCTTCCTGTACACCTGACAAATGAAGGACGGACAAATGAGGTGTTTTTTTAAACTGTGACACACCTCTGTTTGGTGCTTTGATGCATCTTTCAATTAGATGTATTTACTTCATGTCTCCTTGATATTGTAAAGTGAAGTCATGTGCCAGGGGGCATTGATATTTTGTGTTTCATTAAGAATTAAGAGGTATAAACTTTTATGTGTCCCGACTGCTGAGTACTTTGTAGTTTTCATGACTGCAGAGGTTAAAGGTGACCCAATGAGGTCAATGTAGCCAACATTTCCCTCACCAGCCAAGATGTGAGTTCTTGACATTCCTCTTTGTGCTGTTTTTATCCAATATTAAAGTACCAAATATTGTTCTTGATACATATATTGTAATAAAGGTTTTATTAAACTTGAATAATCTCTTCTGCGAATTGAGCCTTTTTTTTATTTCTCAGTAGATGCAGCCTCAGTAAGCATAAATCTACCTTAGTATAACCAATTATCAGCTAATCAATATCAGTTCAAGGTTCATTGTGTAATAAATTTGTTTTGTTACACCCTGCTCCTGATTTAGAAGAGCCTGAAGCTGCACAACACACACATCAGCTGATGCTTACTGCTCCCTTTGTGTGTGTGTGTGTGTGTGTTTCATTCCAGTGAGATTAATTGCCTCTGACAGACAAAACCACCATGAACCTGCCCTGACTGTAACAGGGCAATGCTAATTACAGCTCAGCGTATGGAGAAGTTAATTAACCAAAACCCAGCGCTTCCATTGTTCTTTAGAAAGGACAAAGTTAAAATAGTACTTACATGATACTGAATATCAGCAAAGGAAGTAAACATAATTAAACGTGTTAACTTACATAAATATTAGCATGAATTATTGAATGATTTCTATAGGCATATGGATGAAAGCTCCACTACTGACCAATGAATTATACAGTATAATAATGAACAGATGCTGTGCACCGTAACATGTCTGAATAGATTAAATGTCTGTGAGCATCAAGCTTACAGAAAGAAACAGATTGGGTCAGCTAGTATTTTGACATGATACATAACCTCATGTTGTTATGTGGATGCAGCAACTTTGTTCCTTTCTGCAACAAATGCTCTTTTCAAACAAGACACTGAAGACAATGAGACATTTTCCATAGTCTTTATTATAGTTTTTCCTTTTCAATCTAACAGGTATACACAACGCTCTAAATGTCATGGCTTTTTTGTCTTAAATACTCTCCGCTCTTAAAGAAAAACTGTAAAAATATTTAATTATAACTAATTAAAAGATCTCTTCAGGGACAGGAGTGGGAAGGGTGCACAGATAGGGAGGAGGGGCGGGGGGAGTTCTTCTGTGGTCCTTATCTGAGAAGTTGGGTGGGACTGGGAGACAGAAAAGCTGGAGGGGGGGGGAGACAGGGTTAAGTTACATCCAGCTGGGGTTTCACCGCGAAGACGGGGTGGTGTTACCATTTAAAGAAAACCTGAAAAGAACGACATGAAGCAGCAGGTTAGAATTAAATGGATGCACGTTTTCTGTTGCAGCAGATGACAGTTTTAAGACTGGCTGGAAAATCACCTGCACACCCTCTCCATCATGTGTGTGACAAGGCGGTCAGAGATGCCTGGACAGGACTCCTCGGCGAGGTTGAAGGCGTTCTCCAGCTCCTCGATGGCTCCTACGCCTCCGCCACTTGCCCGCCGCTTCTCCTTCAACTGGTGGGAATAAAAATCAACCAGAAAGAATTTAACAAATTGAATGAAGAAGGTTATGGCATTAAAATAAGCAGAGATTAGTCAGGGATTGTTGCTTCTTAAGTTCATCGACAGAGCTACGGTGGAGTCCAAAAATCCATTCACTGGAGAAGTGGTCTCGGACTCTTGGACCCTACTGTACATGCTCTCCTTCTCTTCTGGTTTTCCCTTAAACAGTAACTGTAATATACCTGCATTCAAATCCTGATCCACTTTCATACCTTCTTTCCTACTGATAAAAAGGTACAACAATGAAGCTAGAGGTGAGACAGAGTCAGTGTTTATCATGTGGTTTTGAATTCATGTTATAAATACATGGTTTTGAGTGCAGTGACGGAGGATGTGAGTCAATCTGGGACTAAAAATAAACCTACATTGTTGAAATCATATCACAAGAGCGCTATGACATGTACAGAAAGATGGAGTGTAGATCCTGTCACTGCTGCAGCCCAGACTTGCATTGTTATCACTGCAGTCAATGTACCAAGAGAGATTTAAGGTTTAAGGTGTTTTGCCTTCTATCTAAAATGATCGGAAGAACAATGAAAAGCATCAAAGGTCTGTCTGTCCAAAACTTACACCTACCTCTCTGAAGATGGGTGTTACCAAAGCAGACAAGCACTGGGACTTGGGTTGTCTTTTCACTGAATCTCCTGACTGCAAAGAGGAAAAAGGGGTGTTAGGAAAAACAAAAGATTTGACTCTGTGTCTGTGTGCTGCATGTGTCTTACCTCTGAATCTGTGTGTGTGTAGCCCTTCTGTAACTTGTTCATAGAGTTGGGTCTGACTGTGGGGAAGGTCCACATGGGACATGTATCCACGTCACCATCAGCATCCCTGAAAGACATGGGGGTGGGGGTGAACAGAATTAAGAGGTGAGGGACAAAAATACTCACAAATATAAGGGGCAGTAACATTATCTGATTTACACACAAAGAATTAATGAGTTTGTTTTTGTAAATACAGAGAAAATGTCTCTATTCAGTACAATTTAATATCCTACGTGTTTGGATATGTTTAGGTAAGCAATGCTTCTAGTAAATGTCCATCAGCAAATTCTGCTTCTCTCTAATAGGTCCGTTTGGTGTCACTAATTTGATAGCATGTCTTTGAGTAGATACTCAGAGAGCGGAGTGGATGTGTATGACTAGAATCCATGAATGTGTGTTCTTGAGACTCACATATCTGAGTCATCAGAGCTGGATTCTTCCCCGTGTCCCTCTGACTTCCAGCGTCGGTAGCGGTCGATCAGCTCTGTCAGATAGGCCGTCTTCTTGGTGTAACGCGTTATGAACTTGTGCTTCAGAAGCTCTTTGGCGGTTGGCCTCTGTGCAGAGGAAGAATAGAGATGGGAGCGGCATTAAAATTCAGTTACAGTGTCATCGGTGGGTTTGTTCATTTGAAGCAGGAAGAAGAATCAGCTGGGATCAGAGTAATGACTCTACCATCATATCACCTTGATTTAATGTATTTTTGGCACTTTTCTGGTACAAAAATGTGATGTGGATCATGTTTGAATATTTGAGAAAGTGCACAACAAATTGTAACTCCTATTAGGGACAGGGCACGCTAATCCAATCACAAAAATGTGGTAGGATAAATGACCAAAGTCTTACAAAGAACAGCAGTGCCAGTCTGGAATTATTTTCCAATTTTCTAATCTTATTTAGCCTGAACACACATGTCTGATCCCATTTTAGTTCTGCTACAATGCCTGCAGATGGTTGCAGCTGTTTTACTTACAAAACGAGGGTCTTTATTTAGACAAGCCTCCACAAACTCTTTGAAGGGTTTGCTGTAAGGACCCTCCAGGGTGGGAGGAGTGTTTTTGGGGATGAGGAAGAGGACCCTCATGGGGTGAAGATCAGAGTTGGGAGGTTCCCCTTTAGCCAACTCAATGGCAGTGATGCCCAAGGACCAGATATCAGCCTAAGCAGGAGAGAAAATGTGTAAGTAAGGTGTGTTAACTTCACATACACTAGAAACTGTGCAAGGGATTCAAATATACAGCAGTTCCCTTCATAAAATGATGTGCATCATGTACTTATCAGTGCCACCACCAATAACAAACCCCCCCCCCCCAAAAAACGTATCACTTCTTCCGCTCTGTGCTGTACCAACGTTAAACATCTCTTCACTCAAAAAACAGTGTTCACTCAAAGCAGCGACACAGGTTGTCTCTTGTCCACGCCACAGACTCTGGCCTCACCTTGAAGTCGTAAGCTGACTGTTTGATAACCTCTGGAGCCATCCAGAAAGGTGTGCCGACAAATGTGTTCCTCTTAATCTGGGTATCTGTCAGTTGTCCTGCCACCCCGAAATCTGCCAGCTTCACGTCGCCCTGCTCCGACAAAAGCACATTGGCAGCTGGGAGGAAGAAACAGAAGAAGAAAGGCAGTCAAAAACAAGTGATATAAATAATCAGTACAGGTTTGTTTTCTGTATCTGTTAATGGTGGCCTGTTTCTGTTTCACATGTTAAACACAAAGCATCAATAAACATGCCGATGATGCAGTCCCATTGTGGGATGATAAATAGAAATGAAGTGCTGTTGCCCCTCATTAAGGCCAATCAAGTGTAACAAGTAAAGACTTCAGTTCATGAAGTTTTGTCAAAATGTATCAGCAGCTTTCAGCATATTACATGCGCCAGATGGATGAACAGATGGACAAAGGATACTTCAGAGTCCACTGTGGCAAACACAGACAGCTTCAGACATCAGGAGATGCTCAGTGCTTTTGGCAGGAAAAGAGTTTAAATACAAGAATTTAGTCCCTATGGAAAATGGAAAATAAATCCACAAGCAGTTCAACCCGTTTTAATATTTATCTAACATCTTTGTTGAGCTGCCTGCCATCTTAGCATCATTATATTTCTGTGATTTTGAATGATTACCACTGATCAAATTCTTTTTTGAAGAATAGAGAGCATAACATCAGTCTCTCTCACACACACACACACACACACACACACACACACACACACACACACATTTACATTTAACACCTTCAGTGTGTTGTGAAATTTCAAGGTCTCACACGGTTATTATTATTATTATTATAATTTTTACAGCTTGTTAACATATTTCAATGTGTGGACTTATTCTGTGCAACGTCTGGTTAAGACCAGATGTGCACGTTGTTACTCAGATCAACATTCAGTGTCCTGCTCTGTTGCACTCCAGTGCAGCATTTACTTGCTGATATGGGATGCTGAATCACAGCATTTGTAAGTTCATGTCCAGCCTCTTCACTCACTGCACTACACCGATACTAAATGAAAAAGACGAGCTAGAGAGTCTGTTTCCCATTGAAAATGTGGTGATTTACAAGAAGAAAGTACCTATTACCTTTGATATCTCTGTGAATCTTCCTTTCGGAGTGCAGATACTCCAGCCCCTTTAGTATTTCCCTCAGTATAGTAGCAATGTAAGTCTCTTCAAGAGGCCCTGGACGGAGCTAGGACGACAAACATACAAAAAAATAAATCAGAGAAGAGTGGATGTTGGGAGAGAATGCAAACAACAGGTCAGGTTTTGCTCCACAAGTATAAGAAGTACCACTTTGTAAGATTTGTATAAAACTTTGTAAGCAGCATAAAAATAGAAACCTTCTTACCAGATCCAAAGCAGATCCTCCACCTAAATACTCCATGATAATCCACAGCTTGGTCCCCTGAGAGAGGGAGAAAATACTCAGTTTTCAAGTTTAAGATTTAAAACCACATCTTTATGTTATTAACTGTGGTAATATATATATATATGTGGCTACAGTATTTGTTTCTATCTTACCTTCAGATATGATCCATAATACTTGGTAACAAAAGGACTGTCACACTGGCTCAGCACTGTGATCTCCTGCTGAATATCTTCGATTTCATCCTCCGCCTCCTCCAGGTCTATAATTTTAATCGCCACCACCTCCTTTGTGCGGTTGTTGATGCCTTTGTAGACCTCTCCGAAGGAACCCTTCCCAATCCGCTCCTGCTTGGTGAAGTACTCCTCGGGGTCCAGCCGGGTATTCTGGCCCAGTGACAGCAAAGAATGCACTGAATTATTAAGTGTATGTCATGATGATGGTTCTTGTAGTATGATTTGTGTCTATAACTTGTTCCACAACAAAGGTTAATTGACCTGACATTAGGGGTTACATCTATCTGTTGGCCTTTATTACAATGTTTTCATGCACTGCTCAAACATTAAGAGATGCAGGATGATTAACCTTTCTTATTTGTGTCAATACGCATTTTATTACAGCCCATATAATTACCTAGACTCTAGATTTAACTTTGTGCCAGGATGTAATTCAAGAAGCATGACACTTCAAAGTTTAGTGGTTTTCTGTCTCCAATAACAGCAGGAAATAAGTGATGATTTGACTGAGTAGGAGGCACTTAAAGAAGTCAAATTTAAGTCAAATAAAGAAGTTAAATTTAAAATATTTTACTATCTACAGCATGTGACAACTACAATTCTAAAACAGCTTAGGCTTTTAAAAATATTGCTGTGTACATTGATGAAATTAACAATTTCTAATGATATCTGTTTGTCAGCTTGTTGATTGCTTTGCCAATTGCTCCTGACAATGGCGAGGAGATGGAGAATAAATGATTTCATGTTCGTGTATAGAGTAAGTTTTTCGCTGGCACTGATGGCTTAGACCCCCACCCACCTATTCATGGAAAGCCTGACGGTCATGGGGGTTCGCCTTGTCTTGGACAAGAAGAAGGGAGGTGACAGTTGGTGAAAAGAGGATTTCTGTACCTGGTTTTGCATGTCTCGAAGGTGTGCCATCCCCTCAGCAGGTTGGACGGGGCAGGGAAAGCCACAGCTCTCTCTTTCCTGAAGTTATCAAATGGTCCTTTCGGGTTTTTCCTCCCCTTTTAGCTGTCTAGGAAGCTAGCTAGGTGGCTAGCCCACTAGATAAACACCCAATCTGCTGGCTTTAATGGGGCTGTCACTCCGCGCACTGCTCTCGGCCTCCAAGTCCAACGGAGGACCGAACAGCCCGGCGACACAACGAGCTACTGACCGAGAGACTCCATGTATGTCGGCGGTGATGAACAAGAAGAAAAAAATGTTCCTTCCGTGTATTAATATTTAATTCATTTCAAGGAACGCTTAGCCTGTTGTTCATTTGAAGCTTGAGGAGGACAAAATAATGGCCCAGATGGACGACGCATGCGCATTGTTTCCGCAGACGCTGGAATTGTGGGAGTTGTATTGCGAAACCGACATCTCTGTTTAGGTACCTGAAAGAAGGCTTCCTCTTCATGAAGATGCTGCAACAGATTAAAAAAAACAACCCAAAATACACATTAAAATTTGCTTATACATTAAAGCTCATTGAAAGCCAGTTTCTAGGGCCCCTTTCATTTCAGTTGATACTGTACATGGTGAATGGATACTTATTATTATTATTTTTGGACTCTTATGTAACAAATGTTGGTTATGTCATATCACAGTCTTCATTCCATATGAGACTGCATTTGGCCAACTTTGTAAACCAGTAATAACAACACTTCTTTAAGGGCAAACAAAACATCTGGGGGACTGTATAAAGTAAGTGACCTGTGTTGAATCCATCTACAGCTTGGTGGCTATAGCTAACTGTATATTGAATATATATTAGAGCTGAGTAATTTCATAATGCAAATGCATCAAGAAATAAATAAATTTTTGATTTACAATTTTATTGAAAAAAATTACAAAAGCACACTGCAGCAAATTTGTACCTTTAATCAAAGTTTGAAATTACACATGTGTATATACACATCTGCATATAAGGCTACACATTCAACCCCATAACTGGGCATCACTGATGAATGCAGAACTTACTTGTGATCTTTGTTAAATACATTCACAATACATTCATTTGTGGTAATGAAGCATACCATAGGTTGTTTCTCTTTGGTGGTTTTACACAACGTTTCTCTTCTTGAAGTTTACAGGTTGTAACAAACACATACTACATATACATATATACAATATATATATATATATATATATATTCCTATAGGTGTTACTGTATTTATGTAAGAATCCATCATTTCTGGAACAAGAAAATGTTTTGAATTGAAATAAGACATCATGAATTCATCATTATAGAAAATACAGTCGTTTGACATAAATTTCCAAGGTAAAACCTCATAATGGTTGGATATTTAATATTTTGTATGTTTGACAGTGTTAGAAAAATAATCATGAAAATAGAGATTAGTCTGACAATGATGAGTAAACTGAATTACAGCTGAAAAAGAAATAGTTTTGTATGATGTTGTTTTAATTAGGCCAGTTACATAAACATTACATGTGAAACGGCTAATTTGAGTGTAGTAGTTGTGTGCGCTCGTTTTTGAACCCAGGTGGTCCCTGCTGGTGCGCCTCGCTTGGAGTGACGGTGTAGCTTATAAGCTCCGCCCCAGCGAACACCCGGGGTTTGCTATTGCCAGATAGATACACTAGCTGGAGGCGGTGCGTGTTTCGGTGTCACCCGTCGTCCGTCTCGGCCGATGCTGTAAATATTACAGAAGAAACAGCATTTTGACACATGACATTTTAAACCCCGGTGCTAAACCCTTAACGGTAAGTGGCCATTGAAGCTAAAGCCAAGTAAAGCCCTAGATAGCTGATGTTAGCCAGCGTGTTACTGCAAACAGCGAGGCTAACGTGTTGTGATAAAGATAACATCAGCTAATGCTTGTCAGACATCGCGTACTAATATTAGCTAGATATTAGCTAAGTACATGCTAGACATGGCGTCTTACGTGGATTTCATTCAATGACATTGAAGCCATGTTTCGACAACAGCTACACCTCATGTCAGCGTTATGTAACTTCATTAAACACAACGTGAAAATGTTAATTGTTATGTGGTGTTTCTTGTTGCTGTGGCTGCTGCACCTTCTACCATCCACCTTGTCGGGCTTGTGTGGTCCCTCTACAGGACATGCCCTTTTACACGAGCCAGAGATCATGTATTTAGCAGCACCACTTGTGACTGAACCAGTTGGCAAGGAATAAATCCACTATATACATGAATTTAAACACTGCTTTAAACTTGAATCACAAAATCAGGATGGCATTGCCGGCAGGCCAGTGCCATTAACTTGAGAGGGATGGCGAACATCCAGGTTTCACAGATATGAGTTTTGATGTGATTTTTTTTAACGTCTGACACTGTGAGTGTTTCAAGTGTTACTCCAGTTCCCTCTGTCTGATGTGTCTTCAGGCTGGATGAGTGGGCCAACCTTCACCTCCCCCACTGCAGAGGCGGCTGAGATGAACCGCATCCATTATGAGTTGGAGTACACGGAAGGCATCAGCCAACGCATGCGAATCCCTGAGACCCTCAAGGTGGCCTCTGACAGCCAGGCAGGGTCCCTGTCCCTTCAGCAGCCACTGCTCACTCACACGACCCTGATGCAGGTTCCTGAGAGGATTGTTGTTGCAGGTGAGGACAGGACTTCAGTAATAAGTTGCATGGTAGAAAATACATGCAATTTGTAGTCCTGAGGTGTTGGGCTGTGTATGTATCACCATGCCAAAACTGTGTGACCTCCTGTCCTTTTCCTCCTCACTTCACCCACAGGTGATGATGTGGACCCTCGATTTGCTCGTCCAAGAGACTTGGACCTGATTCAGTCTGTCCCTCCTGCGGACCTCCTGAACATGAAGGCCCCGCCACGAATCCTCACCCTTTCAGAGCAGCCACTGGACTCCCTCGAGACCGACCCAACTGCCTCTTCACAGAGCAATCCCAGCCAGGTGGTAAGAGTTACACCAAGGTTTCTGTTAAATGTTTTTATTTCTCATTACTATGAATTCAGTTTCCTTAATTAATTTAACTTGAAACTGATCCCGACTCTGGTGCGCCGCTACACGATTATGTGTATTACAAAATGATAGAAATGTAGCAAAAACATGGTGCTTGTGTACATGATCAACAATAATGCTTGTTCTTTAATATAGCATTATTCTGCAATATTACTCAGTTACTTCTGTAAGGTGGTCAATGAAAATATTGTAGATGTCATAGCATTTTGGGTGTTAATAAGATTAGGTGGAGGCAGATGTAAGACTGTGAAGTTGGAGCAGAAAGCTGAGATTTTGAAGGTGAAAATTAAAAGCTTATATAGAAATTTGAGGGAAATTTAGGTTTAAAAAAAATTCATATAGACCAGATAGATGTGTCTTAAAGCAAATAATTGATCATTCTACTCTTCTTGTTTAGTTGGTTATGTTTATGCTGAAGTGCAGCTGCTTTTCTATTCATTGGTTTGTACAGGAAACTGTGGACTGAAGTTGAAACTTGAAACTTTGTTTTTCTCCTGAAAATCAGACGCTTGAGCAGATTTTGTCTACTTTTCTGGAGGTGCATACAACTAACTGGATGTTATGAGGGGATCCATAGAGGGATGATGCACACCACTGTTTGCAGAATTTAATGAGTCATGCCGTGTCATGAAACCAAATCTGCTGGTTTCACAAGTGTCTCCACGACGGGTCAAGCAAACTTCTGATCACATATCTAAACATGAGCTATACTTATTAGTAATCTTCACGTTTTATCCACATCAACTACTGTTTAAAGAAATGCAGGTTCAGGTCAGAGAAATGAAGAGATGCAAGCCTTCATTTTTGTTTGAAAAGGAAAAGTATTCAGAAAGTGCTTGAATTTGCTGTGGGGAATGAAAAAGTATATTAAAAATGTTGCAAAGAGCAGGTTACATGGCCAGCCAGTGAAGAAAGAAAAAAAGTAAGGAAATGAAGAAAGTGTATAGGGAGATTAAAGGATACAATGGCCACAGTGGTGCTTAGAGAAGAAACCAAATCAATTATTTATCTGCGGCAGGTTTTGACATTGTCGGTGGTTGAGGAGTAGCTTTCAAAATGAGACTGCTCATACTTGTTATTTGGTTTTGTGGTTCTTAAAAGTGCAGTGGAAAATAAAATGAGCACAATTTTCAATACTTAGGAACCTCAACCGCAATCTAATAATCATGTCTTGTCAATGTAACCTATTATTTCAAATCTTTGTATCAATAATAGGCCCACTTTCATGCTCGGTCTCGAAGAGAGCGCAGTGTGAGCGAGAACATTTCTGGTCGCCACAGCAGTCAGATCAGCAGATGTGATATAAGGTAAGCACACCTGCTACAGCACAGTGTCACTGATGCTGCCTTTACATTTTGAATTTCTTGTCTCTTATTCTTTGTTCATTTGTAGTTGGTTTAAAAAATATCTTTCTTTCTCTGCTGTTCCTCCCCACTCATCTCTCTGTCAGTGTAACCCCTTCCCCGTCTGCCCCCCCAGTCCGCTTGTGTCCCCCCCTCTGTTCCCCGGAAGATGCGAGCATCAACCTGTTCACAGCCGCAGGGTTCCTGTCTTACATTCAATCAACGACACGGCGAGCGTACCAGCAGGTTCTTGAGGTCCTGGATGACAGTCACCGCAGGTGTCTCTTCTTTGTCCCTGTAATTCTCAGAAGTCCCAAAGTTTGTGTTGAGCTATTTTCTTAAAATGAAGAAAACAAATAAACTCCTTACAGCATCATAACTTTAAGGAGAGCTCCTGAGGTGAAGAACTGTAATGCAGGAGGAAAGAAGTCAGAAGTCAGAAGAGGAGGAAGTACGATGCACATGAAAATTGTGCTGGTTGTTTGTTTATCTGATTTGAGATGTGTTGGCATTTCTCACTAAAACAGGAACAATGCTGTTTCACAGCCTCAATTAACATCATTCCTCCTGTGCTCCATGTGAGCCAAAAACACTATCATAGTTGACCTACCTGAAATTGTCATTTATACAAAATATAAATGTGTGTCACATAATGTGTTAGTGGATGTGAGTGTTAAAGCGATGTGAACCCTCGAGCTAGACTAATTTTGTCAAGTACGTTGCTGTTATCATTTGTCTAAACTGAGATATGTTCATCTCTGAAGGACGCACCTGGACTTGGCCCTGGATATAAACCCTGATGAGTCTGGCTTGGTAGACGCCTCCTCACTACGACGACAGGTAATATGTCTCACAGGCCTAAATGCCTGCGTTTGTCACTGATAAGTGACATATGGATATAATATGCTTCTCTGCTGCTCTGGTGTGTTTATTGTGTCTGTTGTGAGTATTTTCTCCTGTTGTGTTAGGGCTAAAATTCGTTAGGGTACAGTGAAGGCATGCTGACACAGCAAGCTGATGAATACCATCTCAGATCTTTTAGATACTCAGCTGTAAACAAACAAATACAGTGCAAGTACAAATACAGGGATGAATCACATAATAGGCTGGTAAGAGAGTACACAAGTATTTTCTTTGAAACTAACAGTATTGTTTAAGTCTTGCTGCTGTACTTGTATCGTTTGATATGAAATTATTTGAGAACAGATTATCCCATTAAAAAGTCAGAAAGGTCCAGGTTTTTCATGTTTTGGTAATTTGATATCGTCACAATAGTTTTGCTTGTATATTTTCTTGCATATTTAAAACTTAGATTGAAAACCAGATGGTGGCAATCCTATGTAAACACCTGAACAACTCTTACCCATGCCTAGCATGGGCACAGTGTTACCACTTTTACATGGGAGAAAACATCTTTTCATCGTGGTCATTCAGATTGTGAAGCTGAACCGGCGCCTGCAGCTGCTGGAGGAAGAAAACAAAGAGCGCTCAAAGCGAGAGGTGATCCTGTATTCTGCTACTGTGGCGTTCTGGCTTATCAACACCTGGATCTGGTTCCGTCGCTGAGGTGGGACTGAACTGAGCCTCCCAAAACACTGGAAGCCAAAGCAATTCCTTGTTAAAGGTGCAGCCATTAAAACATGGGTCTCTACTAACATCTAAAGGAAACCACAGGAAACTGTAACAACATTGGCAATGTCCTAAACCACAACCCTCTATGTTTTTATAACAAATTCTATTTTGAGATTTGACTTACAAATTTCAAGTTTAACACTGTCAAGGTAAGACCTGAGCCAGCGCAGATAATGTTTAGTATATCTACTCAATGTTACAGATTTTCACAATAGCAGACAATAACTATCGGCGAGGTCACAGTGATTTTTGGTGAGGTGTAGGAGTAAAGCTAAAGGTCTCAGACTTCACATGAAAGTTTCATCTATGTATCTCACCCTTGTATAAACTGGTAAACGACGAGCAAGACAAAGCACAATGACACTACAGTTCAATGTTTCCAAAATGTTAGCATCTGCTTTGATGTAGTAAGTAGAGCTTTGCTATGTTGTAGCACACAACTATCAGATGCCTTATTAGGCTAAAATTAGCTACAACATAGGTTGCTTTCCAGAGAATATAATGTCAACCTTAAATCAGCCGACATTTGAGTCTGAAGCTTTCTCCACCTTTCGAATACTTGAGTTTAGGAGAAACTAAATGTTATACAGGTCATGTGGAGATGAGTTTAAAGTGGCAACGGGCCAAAACTTGGTAAAAAAATTGCAAACCCTTATAGATATTTTGTGCAAAGAGCTAGGAAAATGTTAAAGATTGCACCTTTAGGCTTGATAAATCTTTTACATACCAACAACAGATGTTACAGTGATGCTTACCATCGTTCGTCTTCGTGAGAGTGAACAAAGTTTGTGAAGGAGAGTTGTTAGCCTCAGGAGAAGAATGATTACAGGGGAAACAAGGATTTACTTAAGCAGCAAATGTTTTGGGAACCTAGGCCACAGCTGGAACTACAGTTACAGGACCAAATGTCAGACCTATTTGAAGTTGAAATCATCAGTTTGGTCAAAAATTGCTATTCTTTAAGTGTCAAAGTAAGATGACTAAATCTAGAGATGCCATAACATTAACCTTGAATGTCCTTTGAGTTCCTCATTACCCAAAACATTTGTGTACGGTACTTGAATAGCCTATTGTTGTAATGGTGTAGTTAGTCCTTAATATATATATTTTTTACCTCTTTGGCGGTCTCATGCACAGTGATTGTGATACGAGCTTGGTGAAGGGGCAACAAAACTACTGAAGGTAGGGTGCTGGGGATATTATCTGTGAATGAATAATGTGTTCTCGTGCTGTTTATACAGTTCGAGCTTGTTTTTCCAGAGAATTTGACCATTCGTTTTTCCATTAAGTTACATAGGGACTAAGAGCATGGACTGTGTGGTTTTATCCATCATACAGTGTGATATTAGAGCTACTGTGTGTATGATGATTTGTAATAGATGAATATATACATGATATATTGATGCCATTATTTTTGAATAATAAAATGATTTCATGGAGGTTTATCACACATAGCAAGGGCATCAGCAAAACGTTGCAGTGATCATTTTTCTTCTGTTATACAGTGTACTTATCAATTAAAGCTGGAATTTTAAGTTATATATTTTACTTTCTTTGTAATATATGAATACATTCATTGTTTGTAAATATTTTCGCTGTAATAAATGATGGATGTTAATTTTTTTTGCAGACCTTTGTTTCTGTACAATACTGACCCCTGCTGCTCTGTTGGCTGGTGTGCAACACCAGGAAGTGCTCTCTGGATGGAAATATTTGTATGGATGTTTAATTAAAGAGGAGATCATTTTTCCAACCGAAGATCATCAGCACACGGAAATTGATTAGAGAAAAACCTAACGCTGACTTTTTCTTGTTATGGTCTTCCACCGGAAGCATCCATGAAACAGTAAACAGAGGTGCTGGCAGTACAATGGGGATCACGAAGCTGGCAGATTTGATCCGCTTAGATGCTCGCGATGCCATTTCTCATAAGGATATCAGTGACTACACAGGTGACATTCAACATATGTATTTGTTTTATTAGCACGCTGAATTCTTCGCCATGTCAAATACCGGATGTTGCTAATTGCTATGGTTAGCATACTTGGTACTTGGTAGCTTAGCTCTGACGTTACGAATAATTCTGCCACACGACACAACAAAACTTCTTTAAAAGTGCGACCACGCCCTTGGAAATTTTCACTTCAAATTAAAGAAAACATTTGCACTGTTAACACTAAAATGTTGCCACCACAATAATGAAAAGTAATAGCATTTACTCAAGTACAATTTTGAGCTACTTGTACTTGTACTCGAGTATTTGTCGTACATTGTACCTCTACTTCACTTACTAACCGGCTAACACTTTGCTACTGATAGATTTTAAATACAAAACACGTGGCCACCATAAGATGAGGATAACCACTACTCTTACATACATTTTATAAGGATACAAGGTCTCTTGAAGTCAGTAATTTGAACTGACCATCTGCTGCCAGGTAAATGAAGTACTGTCACAGTCCTTGTATAGTTATGTAATGGACTGAAACTTACATATGAAATACAGTGGAGTAGACTAGGAGTGACAGTACTTCATACTGTTCTTTTATGAACGTAATCAGTTAATAAAGTGGATATGATAGACAAGCCATTTGTGACTATGAATTCAAGATGCTCATGATGCTGCTGCTGTTTTATGCTCCACAGGAAAAGTAATCGCACTGGATACCTCTATTGTTGTGAACCAGTTCCGTGCAGCGACACCTACACTAAGGTGAGCTCCTGAAAGAGTCATTCTTCTCAGGCTGTACTCTGTGCTGCTGGTGCATGGGACTACATTGATGTTTCTATTATTTCATGCACATAAATATCAGAAACAGCCCATAAACAATTCAATCCGACACCACAAACTATAACCATACAGGTGTCATTAGCAATTGAAAATAATGCCTCACAGTTTTTTATAATGTGTTGGTATTTCTGGCTTTTGGTCACTTGGTGTATGTCTGCTCGTTTTGTGTGAAATGGTCTTTATTTCTTCTCTCTAGCCCCCTGACAGGTCTTTTCTTCCGCACGCTAACCTTCTTGGAGCATGGCATAAAACCAGTCTTTGTGTTTGACGGAAAGCCTCCCGGGGAAAAGGCAGCTGTTGTAAGTGACACCTTGAGACCTGATACTAACTATATCCTCCTAGTGTGTATGAGACAGTCACGGGTCTGAGAGAGACTAATCTAAATTCTTATCTCATGTGCTCAAAATGCCAGTAGAACTAGTCTCCTTACATGTTTTGACTGAAGAAAATAACCAAAAAAAAGGAAGTGAGAGTGCATTTGATTAACTAGTGCGATATGATAGATACAGCAGATACCTGTAGAGTGGCTGAGACGACTGTGACTCATGCTGATCCAGCCTCCTGTTTTTCCCGCAGCTTGAGAAGCGAGCTGAGACAGCTGGTTGGAGATTCCCTAACCGCACAGGCATAGGTAAATCTAAATAGAAACAAAAAGTGCAGATTCTGAAGTTTAAGTAGTCTTAGAAGCCCTTACATTCCTAGGATATGCACTGGAAATATTATTCGAATGAATAAGTGCGTCTTGATTCTTTTGTGCTAAATGTAGCATCATCCCAAACCAAGGATTGTCTCCATCTCCTGAGGCTTCTCGGTGTACCGTTCATCCAGGTGTGATCCCTCTCTCTCTCTATGTATATACTGTATGCATATGTATATAGTATATCTGTCTATCTCGCATTGCCTGCATTTTTATTTTTCATTAACCTCTCTTTCTCTGCGTCTTGTGCTCCAGGCTCCAGGGGACGCTGAAGCAATGTGCGCCTGGCTGGTGAGAGCGGGGACTGTGGATGCGGTAGCATCAGAGGACATGGACTCGCTGCCATTTGGAGCCAATATTCTTATTCGCCAGCTGAACGCCAAGAAGGACAGGTAAGTACTGTGCAATTCATGTGTTGCTCAAAGGATGGTTTAATCCGCTTGCTAGTGTAATTCACCTTGATGCTGTTAATTTTCCGATGCATATCATAGATACTGATGTTATTTATTTATTCATTTATTTTTTTGTTCAATACAAAAATCCAATCTATATCTTAAATTGAAGGATGGACTGGGTTGTTTCCAAACTTATCTAATGCTGAGCTGTTCTTCTTTTTCTTCTTCGCAGTGAAGTGATTGAATATTCTTTACCCAAGCTGTTACAGAAACTTCAAATTAGTCATGAGGAGGTAAGACTGAAACATTCATTAAGATGTCTTTGGAAGCATATTCGTGAAGGCACTTTCCAGAAATATGTACTTTAACTTTCCTTCTTTTGCTGTTTTCTTCCACCAGTTTGTTGACCTGTGTATTTTGTTGGGGTGCGACTACTGTGACAAGATAGCCGGTTTGGGTCCTAGAAGAGCTCTGACACTGATCCAGAAGCACCGCACTATTGAGAATGTGGTTTTGAATGTCAACAGAAAGGTACTAGATGGACTATTTGTGGTCTTGGTTGTTATTTCTGTACATTGCTTTACCAAAAAATGTAAGATGTAAAAAGATACTATCTGCTTCCCTTCAGACCCATCCTGTGCCACATTTCTGGAAATACAAAGAAGCACGGAAGTTATTCTTGGATGCACCACAGATTGAAACTCCTGAACTCATCTGGACTGAGCCAGATGAAGAAGCCTTGGTTAGCTTTCTCTGCCACGTCAAATACGTAAAGTATGTACTCATAATGGCCTCATTTTTGCTCAAGCCCAGCCTCTATGTCTTCATGCTTCTTTGTCTCTTTCAAAGACTAGTATGAGCCGTATTTATGTTTTTAGGGTGGAGAGGATCCGTAGTCGAATGGAGAAGTTCCGTAAGACACGGGAGGAACGGGAAAAGGAAAAAGCAGCAGGATGTAGTAAGCAAACCCGAATGGAGGACTTCTTTAGAGTTACCAGAAAGAGGGGGCAGGTGAATATAACATAACAATCATTAACAAAAAAGATTTTCAATATGTGCATTTTTAAAGCCTTTTAAATTGATTTGGAACTTGATTTATTAGATGAAAAGCTATGATGATTAAATTAAAAAGGGAAACTATTTAAAATGACCTTTGATCAATCATGATCACCTATTCCAGTCAAGCAGTCATAAAGCAGGAAAATTTGTTTTTTTGTATTTGTTCTTGGGGGGCAAATTTTCAGTAGTTTCAAATCTGGTGTGTTGATCCGTCTGAACAGCTGTGCTTTCTGTCTTTCTTCCTCTAGCCTGTGGAAGCTGCAGACTCTTTAAGCAGCAACACAAAGAGACCAAAGTCAAAATGACGCTGCCGCCGTCTCCTGGTTGTTGTCTCCACCGACAAAGGAAGAACGTTTTTTTCATCCATCTCCCTGTCCGGATATCCAAAAAAAAAAAATTTGACAGACAGTCCTCAAATCTGTGATCACAATCTCAAATCTGTGCCATAAAATGATTTTGTTTTTAACACGAGATCATGCTACATTCCTGTGCTGAGAGAAAATCAGTGGGGTCAATTTTAGGCTACACTAATAATATAGAAATTTCAGTTGTTCCAGAGGCAGCAGCTTTACATGTTGGATTATGGATTCCCATTTACAGAGTACTTTCCAAGTGCATTTTAGTTTCCACCCAATTTAGAAGAAGCCAAAACAGGCATTTCGCAAGACACTGACTTCAAGGCTTTGTCTCTGCATGGGAGCACTACCCCCAATGACAATACAATAATCTGATCTTGTCTGAACAGCAGTGTCTGCAACAATGCAGTACACTGAGGAGTTCTTCAGTGCACCCAGCAGTTTCCTGCAAAGCCACCAAGAAAAGCAGAGCAGGCGGCTGATGGCTATGAAAGAGAACAGTGTGATCACTGTCAGGGAGGACTTCCCCTAAGCCAAAACTGGAGACAGGGGATGTCTCATCACTAGATATTCAATGAGCACCTGTTGTGTAAAGGATGCCAAGACAGAGACCAGAGACTTGAATTTTAACACAGCCACTAAAGTGGTATAATGTATAAAAGAGTTAGTGAGATGTTTAAATCCATGTCTTGTAAAAACAGTATACACAGACCAAACTCTATGTTTTATATGAAGCTCTCATGTGTATGCTGTGTGCTCTATTGAAGTAAAATAATGTTGAAGTTTATTTGCTTGTGTGATGTTCTTATTGTGAGAGTGCTTGGATGAGAGTTGGGCCAAACACTGCAAACAAATGCAATGTTTTTTTCTTCCTGAAATATTTCCAAAGAGGTGTTACTTTTCATCAAAACACGAGGCATCATTCCAAACCAACAGATGGCGCCGGTGTTTGTGAAGCTTGTCTGTTTCCCACTGTTTCCCTGTAGAAGAAGCAGTTTGTCAGTCGCCCAGTCTCCCCGATAGACCTCTCAGCAAGGTGTCTGCCTGGCCACGGCCGTCGTACGCGGCAAGTCTGCCCCCGAGGACACCCACCCTGCCCCCGGTCCCTCGACCAAACTTTTCCCCAGGTGATACCAGCCCGCTGTTTTCGGCCATGGCGACGAGCGCGAAGCGAAAGCAGGAGGAGACTCATCTGAAGATGCTCCGGGAAATGACTAGCCTGCCCGCGAATAGGAAATGCTTCGACTGCGACCAGCGCGGCCCGACCTATGTCAACATGACAGTGGGCTCCTTCGTCTGTACCACCTGCTCTG